CATAAGTCTGAAATGCTTTCGATGCTCATCAAAATCTAAAGCTCATATGGTGCCAAACAAAAGGAAATCAAAATCAAAATCTGATATGGTGCCAAGCAAAAGGAAATCAAAATCTACAACTTGAGTTTGAACATTGATATGATCTGTTCAGTTGTTATCATGTTGGGATTTTCTCTTGTGTTTATTTTTTCGATAGTTGTTCTCTTGCTTCTTCAAGTGTCATTAGCTTGTATTTATAGCTTGGAATGTGTTTGATGTTGTATATACCTTGATGTTGTATGTTGCGATCAACGCGAAAGTCAAATTTGTAACGCGAAAGTCAAATTCGCAAACCAAAAATCGCGTTGCGAATTTGTACCTTCAACAGGTCTTTTTTGCCTTCAAACATAATGCAGATTGAATTTTTTAGAAACAACAAATCAACTTTTACAAATCAATTAAACAAGCAAAAAAATAATTCTTATTTACAAATCAAATTAAACAAATAAACTTTTACAAATCAATTAATCAAAAAATAAATCTTATTTCCTCATCAATTAAACAAATCAACTTTCAATGTAAAATTCAATTAAACAAAGAAAAAAAAGTGTACCCCAGACTGTTGTTTATGCACAAACACATTTCACGCAGCTCACTTCAGGATTAACCTGCAGAAACCAAACATTTGCTCAAACAACACTTTCTACACATCTAAAACCAACAAACAACAAATTACTCTAGGTACTTAACCAAATATTTTCAAACCAATTAAAGAGTATATATGTTAACAACACTTGCTCAAACTTACCAATTGTTTATGTACAACTTTCAGAACGCGGATGCAGGTAGGCAGCGTCTCGCATATATCGATCTGGCTATATAATGCCGAAACCACAAGCCTACTGCAGCTCTATCTCTATCTGTGGAAGGTAGATACTGTATTCTTCCTGTCGTCAAACGTTCCAAGAACATGCATACGAGAGGACCACAATCCCTTATGGCTCCCTGCGTTTGTTGTGGCGTAGTCTCGTCTCTGATCATTGTAATTTTGAACTTCTTTGGCTTCTTGTTTCCAGAATTTGTCCAATAATCAATCACATTCAAGTATTTAACCAAATGATCGCTCCATCCCTTTGTAATAATATCTCTCAAATCAGACAATGGTATGTAATTCAACATGCTGTCATATACCATTGTCTTCAAGGATGGGAGCTGAAGCTCGACGAGAAGCCAATGACGACGTTCCAAAATATGGATAAACACCAGCAATCATAAATAATTGTGCATATCAAATAAAATTTATGAAAACTTTTAAAATATTCAAAAAAATAAATACTAACCTTATCGACCTCCCACCACGCAGGATAAAGTTTAGCTTTTCCATTAGCCAACTTATATGAAGCATCTCTCTGATCCTTCAAGTGAGCTGCGTAAAAAGACGTTGGCATAATAGTCCATCGAGTACTTCTTTTCTTCAATTTCCTTCTTATTAGAAGACGTGACACCCATGCATCAATATGTTGTTTTATAAAAAAATAAATATATTAGTGAATTTATTAATAATTTAAAAAAAATTAATCAAAATGCAATATAAGAAGAATATAATACTTACCACCCCTTTGAGGTAGCCATTATCTTCAACCCCTAATAAAATACCCCACCAAGACCGATCAAGAAACAAATAAATAGCATCGTCGATTTGGCATAGGTCAGAATAACACCAATTGCTCCGCTCATGTAGATAAAAATCAACTGCGGTCTTAGCCCAAAGGGTATTATCCGTAATTGTTTCCGGTAGTGTTTCCCTCTCATGCTGAGGAATGGTACTGGCCGGTAGCACATACGAAAGCCAACGCTCATCTATCATAACGGGCACGGGAAGGGGTTTATCAATATGTCGACTTATGACGCCATGTGAATCGGGCTCTTGAACGGCGGGCAGGACCTCTTGAACGATGGCAGGGGCCTCTTGAACGGTGGGATGGGCTTCTTCGATGATGATAGGGGCCTCTTGAACGATAGGAGGCGCATCTTGAATGATGATAGGTGCATCGGGCTTATTCTTACGGAGTCTTGGCACTAGTGGGGTGAACGGAGACGTAATGGCACGTGCACGACGTCTGATGTGTGAACCCTGTCATGCAAGAAAAACCCGACGTAAAGCATCTACCTTATCGGGCCGCTAAAAATAAATTAATACATAAATAAGTAAATAAATAAATAAATAATGCCGAAAAAAGGTATTTGTATTTTTAGTATAATATTAAAAAAATTTACCTTATTGCGTAGAGTATGAACCTCATTCTGCAACAATGAAACAATCTCGCGTAGAGCGGCAACCTCATCACGTAAAGTAGATACCTCACCGCGTAGCGCACCATTGTCATCGCGTAAAAAATCCACCTCACCTCGTAAAGATCAAACCTCATCACGCCATGCACCATTATCTTCACGTAAAGTACCGACCTCATGACGCAAAGCACCGACCTTATCACGTAATTCCCCTAACTCATCCCGTGGAGGTGGAGAATAGGGAGATAAATGTCGTGGCCTCTTTGCCAGTCGCCTATCATGAGGTGATGGTGGAGAATAGGCTCGATGATGTGATGAAATAGTTGATGGTGGAGGTGGAGAAGAGGCTCGATCAGGTGATGGCTTCGGGTGTCGAGCTGTAGAATCAGCCCGATCAGGTGATGGCTCTCGAAGTAGGGGGTGCTCATCATCCGTCCCATCAAAAAACCGCTTACTAGCGCGCCACCAATCAGTGGCAAGCTCAGCCTCTGTGGGTGTCAGCCTCTGTAATGGATAGTTGGCCTCCTAACAATATAAAAGCTCAAACAAAGTTAAACTTGTACTAGTAATAACTTGTTTATATATGGTAGTATTTGTGTGTTAACTTACATCACATCGTCGTATATGGGAGTAACTCTTCCCAATGTAATATGTGAATCCTCTTCCAGGTAATAGCCCTAGGAATATCATTTGATCTTTTTATCGCATATGTCCGCTTGCTGGGGAAAGCCTCAAATATCCAAATCTACAAACAATATAATACACAACCATTAGTAATTGTTAAATAATTAATTATAATTTTAGAAACATTATAATATAGAAATTCTTACCTTAAAGGCCCAAGTAAAGCCTGTCAAAGTGTATTTAGAACTATCGCCCCGCAAACTTTTTTTGGTCCTCAAAGGCAGACGACAACTTCTTCCAGGTAGCTTTCCATAGATATAAACCCCACAGAAACATGTTCCATGCATTTAGGTCCTCTACCAATAATATTAGGTCCTCGGAGATTGGTTGTCTGCCCTCTTTGCCTAAAAAGCCGGCATGCAAAAGTAATAAATGACATACTCGGACAACATCAAGGTCATTCATCCGAGTAAAACCATCTTTATCAAATAATCTATTCAAGTCGTCGACGTGTATACTCGGCTTCGACTTTGCCAGCTCAGGAAAAACTCGATATAACCATGATAGGCGGGCGATATGACTAGTGTACCGACCTACATCATCGTGTCTGAAGCGTATACTGGTGATTAAGCAAAACTCCTCCCGCCCAAAACAAGTATACGCCGGTGCCGGAGGAAAATGAAACCATATCTCCTCATTACCACGTTGTACCCCCTCGGGTAGATCGTTAGTCATGGTCTGAAGAAACAAATGTGTCAACATAGCATCTCCACCCGTATGTTGCACTTTCAGCCATGCCCCGAAGCAAGTATCCTCAAACAAATTTCTTTGTAGAGGTGTAAGCGTCGACGCAATTTTAGTGGCTAGGCTTAATTTATTTCTTAAGGTCAATGCAGTCGAAAAATATTTCTACAAAAACAATAAACATACCAAGTTAGATATACCAAAAACTACAAATTATACACTATAAACAGACATGATATTAAACAGTGAAAATAAAGCCAAATATGTTTCAAACTAGCACAATATTCACCCAAGTCATTATTCCATCATAGTTCACAAAATGCATCAGATAAAATTCCAGAAGTAAACACTTATATAAACATTTAAAATGACAACATATAGGTTTAGTGCAGGTTCAAGGATAACATAAAGAGTAGTAGTTTATTCTTGAAACTTAAATTAGCAACACTGTGAAGTTAATATTTGTCTTTGTTTTTTGGTTGAAGAAATGCAATTCATTCAAGTTTCAATTTGCAGAATAAAAGAAGTTTTTGAAACTTAAATTCGCAACGCGATTTTAGTTTCGCGTTGCGATTTTGGTGTTGCGATTTAGGGTTTCTTTAACAAAAAGAAAAAACAAAGACAAATACTAACTTCACAGGGTTAAAGACTAAACAATTTAGCAATATTGGCAGCAACCGAATGAATTTAGCAATCTCAGTGAAATGTTTAATCTAATAATAATACAAAAATTTCAAAATAAAAATAATTAAAAAAACTAACCTTCGGTGGTTGATTTTCCATTTCTGACCGTGAATGGTTGTGAGGGTTGCTCTGAGAGATGGAGATAGACGGATTTTGTCGGAAATGGGGACAAATTTCGTCGGAGATGGGGACGGATGTCGCCGTAGAGCGTGAGAGATGGAGATGTGACTGAGTTGTGCTTTAGGTTTTAGGTTAGAGATGATTTGCGATAATACTGTTTACATTTATGTTGCGAAATTAATATTGTGTTTCGCGTAAAAACATTTGACTTTCGCGTTGCGAATTTGGAAAATCGCAACGCGAATTTGAAAAATCGCAATGCGATTTACATATTCGCGTTGCGAAATTGAAAACTGGGTTGCGAAATTAGAATTCGCGTTACGAATTTGTTAGTCATTTTGACAAATCCAAAAAAAAATTGATTAAATTCATATATTATAAGACATTTTTGATCATCGATATTATTTTCTCTTATAGACAAAATCTGAAAGCAAAGAGTATCGGGTCAACGTCAAAAATCAAAGGAAAAGTATATTCTTCGAATGGCTGCGATTATTCCATTTTCTAGGAACTTTCTCATCAAGTGTTGCCCCACTTCCAAAATCATAAACGAAATTTCCATGGCAATACAGGGAACCGTTTAAACTTCAAGCCTTTCATATTATAGCAGAAAGAGAGAGAGAGATAGAGGTAATCACATGGAAGAAGGCCTTTCTCCACCGTTACACCCTCTCTCTCACTTTCTTTGGGCTTCTCTTTTTAACTCCCAAACTCTCTTTTTCTCTCTATTTATATTAACTTAGCTAACTAATTCGAATTGAGGTGGGTTTTTTTTTTGTTGTTCTTTGGTTTTTTGTTCTGGGTTTTTGTTCTTTGTGTGTTAGAGAGAGGAGGTTGGGGGATAGTAATGGAAGAAGGGAAATTTTTGCAGTGGGGTGTTTTCAGATCTCTGCTTGCGATTCTCCAATGGTGGGGCTTTAATGTTACCGTTATTATCATTAACAAATGGATCTTCCAGGTTTGTTTCTAACTTTATTTATTGATTTTGGGGTTCAGCTTAATTTTCATATATTGTGAACTGGTTTTTGGAATTGTTACGTTTCGTTGTGTTATGAATATTTAGTTTTGATGCTTTCTGCTTTCATCCTTCTATTCAATATCAGTGAAAACTTTGCTCGAATTTCCTGATTGATACTTGGTAATGCTTGCTGGATTCCTTTTTTTTTAAAATTAATAATTGAAAATTTGGAGTTCTCTTGTAGGCTATTTCCAAGCTCAATGATTTGTTAAAGTTATACGTATTATAGAATTTTAAATTTTAATAGGCTTCCAGGTTTAACTGGTATGAGTTAAACTTTGAATTTTACAATACCAACAGTCCATCTTTACAATTTTATTATAATTGTTTATGATCTTAAATGATGCATCTTAGAAGCAAGGTACATGAGTCATGGCTAGTCTACCATTTTGTTCATGTCAGAGGAATGTGGCTGCAGTTCTCAGTTTTGTCTAGGTACTTAAGTAGGAGATCAAGGAATATGTATGTATGTATGTGTGTGTGTGTGTGTATGTGTGTGTGTATGTGTGTGTGTATGTGTGTGTGTGTGTGTGTGTGTTTTGGTTCCTCATATATTGGTATTACAATGTATATTTTTATGTAGTAGATGATGAGTTAGAGGAAAAGGAACAGGAATGTCTATCTAGGATGTATTTGGATTAAAATGAACCTTGAATTTGTAGTTTGACAAGTACATTTTGGTTCAATTGGCTGATTTCAACACTGTAGCTGAAGGTCGGCATACATGACGTTTTCTTTTCCATCACAGAAATTGGATTTCAAATTTCCTCTTTCAGTATCATGCATTCACTTCATATGCTCATCGATTGGAGCATATCTGGTTATCAAAGTGCTAAAGCTCAAACCTCTAATAGCGGTTGATCCTGAAGATCGCTGGAAACGGATATTTCCTATGTCCTTTGTGTTCTGTATTAACATAGTGTTGGGAAATGTCAGCTTACGCTATATCCCGATTTCCTTCATGCAGACCATAAAGTCATTCACTCCTGCAACCACTGGTGAGATAACGAAATTAAAAAGATTAATCATCGCTTTTGTGCCACTCACCTTGATATAATGTGTGACTGCATATCGTCATCATATCTGATATTTGTACATTTTAACAGTCTTTTTGCAGTGGCTAGTTTGGAGAAGGTACTTTGACAGGCGAATTTGGGCCTCTTTGGTTCCCATTGTCGGAGGAATTCTGCTCACATCTATTACAGAACTTAATTTTAACATGTTCGGGTTTTGTGCTGCCTTATTTGGATGTTTAGCTACTTCTACAAAGACGATCCTTGCAGAATCTCTACTGCATGGATATAAGTTTGACAGGTACTGATGCTATCCTTGTGATTGTTTTTGTCCTTCTGTTCATCTTTGATATTTAGGAAAAGGTTACAAAATCGGTAAACTAGGACGGAGTTAGCACAGATTCGATGTATAGAGCCATGGAATATCTTACAATATTATCTAAAAAATTAGCTGATTCTGCATTTGTGATATAACTCAGGACTTTCCCTGTCTTCTTTTTTGCCTTCTGTTATAGCATAAACACTGTTTACTACATGGCACCTTTCGCAACCATGATCTTGGGACTACCGGCGCTGTTACTTGAAGGTAATGGTGTTGCGGATTGGTTTCATACACACCCGACTCCATGGGCAGCCCTCATCATTATTTTCAGCTCAGGAGTGCTGGCTTTCTGTCTTAACTTCTCCATTTTTTACGTGATTCACTCAACAACTGCCGTCACGTTTAATGTCGCCGGAAACCTCAAGGTGAGATTTGCAGATAGAAAATGGATCCTTCTCGTGCTCGGATTCTGTTATATTATTCGTTTCCATCTCTCTGTCCTCTTAACAAACTTTGCGGAAGATTGTTATGTTCTGTATTATATGTAGTTGCAGACTTCCGGTGTGTAAATTCCTCAAAGATTTCTGGTGTATAATTTCGAAAACAGCATTCATCATTCATAATCGTTTTCTTATACAGGTAGCAGTTGCGGTGTTAATCTCATGGATGATATTCCGAAACCCAATTTCGGGTCTAAATGCTGTTGGCTGTGGTATCACGCTTCTGGGGTGTACGTTTTACGGATATGTTCGACACATGCTCTCTCAACAGCCTCCCGGAACTCCTCGAACACCACGGACGCCTAGAAACAAGATGGAGCTACTTCCCCTTGTAAATAATGATAAGTTCGATGATAAGGTTTGAGAATGTTTTGGCATGGGATGATGATCGGTCACCATATGCTAATTCTCATCTCTTTAGTTATTTACAGTGCTCCTAATTAAGGCAATTTCAGTTATTTTTCAACTTGAAAAGAATCTTGAAATCCTCGAAAATATTTAAAACTCAATTTCGACTCCTATTTTTACTTTAAATATGTGAAACTCAATTCCAACACTTATTTTCACATTAAACCTTACATATACGAAACTCAATTTCAACCCTTAAACGAGATAGTTGTCGTGGGAGATAATGACATATTTAACTTTTATATTTTATCAAATCTTCTAATGTTATTATTGTATTTTTAAGGAATAGTACTTGTACTTTTAAAATACTTAATTTTGATACATGGTGTTTCGTTTTATCTATCAAGTTGATATATTTTCCTAGTGTTTTTTAGCATCATTTTCCTCAACTTTTAAAAACAATATGAAATTTAAAATATTTAGTTTTGATTAACACGTTTTGGTGGTATCACATGTCAACTGTTTTTTAAAAATGAACAAAAATTAAAATTTTAGTTTCAATCGACAAATTACATCACTAAACTATATATTATTTTTTATGAGTGGCACCATTCACGTTTAATTTTCTAAATAAATATATGTATAAAGTATATTTGTTTAGTCTACGCATGACACCACACATTAATATCATGTGTCATCATTAATTTGTAATATCACATGTAAGTTTTTTTTTGGAAAACATAAAATATCATAAGATATTATCATACATTAATTTTTAATATTATAATATATATAAAATAAATATTTTATAATTTAAAATAAATATTTTAAAAGTATAAATATCGCATTAGAAGATATGATGAACTGTAAAAACCAATTCCGCCATTATCTTTTCTATGTAAACAAAACAACAAATGATTTGAAGCATTAAGACTGTTGTGCCTACTTTGGCATTAGACGGCCTTCTATGATATACGATATCATATTTTTCTTTAAAAAAAATATCACGTCAATATTATTTTAAAAAAAAAATTGTATGACTTATTTATAATAGACATAATGTTCGTTTTTGATCTTATCGGTTCAAATAACATGTTGTGTTCCTAATTTGTATAACTCGATGTTCTGCCCGTAACATGTATTGCTTAATATCTTCTCTCCCATTGCAAAGGCAAAACATCTCTTTCTCGGATGTCCAACATTTCTTTTCATTCTAAACAAAACTAATATGATATCAAACCTCACATGTAATGTTTTCTTTTACTTTGAGCTGCCTTTAGTTTCAACTAAAAGCCTCTTTTCTACTAGATCCATGGTTCATCTCATCCATCCATTATTACTAATAAAATACGACGGAGGAATGAGATAACCGACTTAACCAACACCGTAATTGAATTAATCAGAAAAAGTTTTGTTAATTTAACCGAACTAACTTATTAAATCGGTTAAATTTGGTTAACTTGTTCATATCTCTTGAATCATGCACTCCAAGGTTTGTTTCCAAAGCAACTTTTTAAGATTCCAAAGGCAGTCTCATGAATTTGGGTAATTCAATGTGTGATCTTATCCCGTTCTAACAGTTTGGTAAATGTGATTTGCCATCTTTTCATGCCAATATACTGCAATAAGCAATTTGCCATCTTTATGGAACTCAACAATGTTTTTTCATTTTGTTAAATATCTGTAAAAGAATTCATGAATTGCAATAATTTGGTAGTTCGTGCATGCATGCATGCATGTAGCGTTCCACTAAGAAAACTATGATGCGATTGATTTTGCCTGTAAAGCTTATTGGAATATATTTTCTTTTTACCTTGTTCAACCATTACTCCACCACAACAAGTTTGAAATGACATTCCCCCCCCCCTTTTTAGAGTGCTGCTTTTATCAGTGATCAATATTAGCTAAACATAACTTGTTAGCATGATTAGTCAGCAACAATGCTCATACTGCATTGCATGGTGTATGACTATGATTGTTATTGAAGTTGTTAGCAGCAGTTAATTTTGTTAGGTTTATAACTAACACTAGGTGATGTATATAAACAATTGCATCTATGTAATCGACGTATGGTTTTTGGTTAACAATACACTAGCTTTCTTCTCTATATTCTTAAAATGGTATCATTCGCTATTGATCTTGGGATTGTGTGTTCTTGCTTCCGTTCGTGATCCGAGTATCTTGGAGTGTTGTTTACTTATGGATCTTGCTCCTAGTGCTTCTCGAGGTTTCACCAAAAAGAAAGTCAATGTGGTTCTTGATGAAACCATTTTCTTGCTTTGAAAACAGTAGATCTTGCTCACGGTTCGGAGTCATCGGTGGAGCAGCTGTTGATCGATGGTGTTTCTCCTCCACCGATGACAGTTCTTGATGCCAATGGTGAGGCTCAATCAAATGAGACATATGAAGATTTCATTGCGCAAGATAGCGTACTGGCATCCTGGTTATTATCAACGGTGAGCATGCATCTATTGCCACAATTTGTTGGAGTTGAAATAGTTGCTATGGTTTGGGAGACAATGCTCAAGTTCTTTGCAAACCGCTCTACCATGACTGTTATGAGTCTACACTATAAGTTGCAGTCCATAAGGAAGGGAAAAGTATTCACGTTTATCTTACGCGTATTAAGGAAGTTTGTGATGCTCTTGCCTCGTGTGGGAGTGATGTTCCTCTAGTTGAACAAATTGTGAGCATTTTGAAGGGTCTTCCTTGTGAATATCAGCCGTTCATGGTTTTTGTCTCTACCATGAAAGAAACTCTCTTGATAGATAACATATATACTATGTTAATGGATGCTGAGGTGCAGTTGGCTGGATTTGATGAATAATAGAACACCTTGCCTATGAGTGTTAATTTTTCTCAGAGTGATGTTGATCGTGGTTTCTCTAACCGTCAAGATCACAGATCTGGTCATGCATCTTCTATATCTGGTACAAGAAATGGTGGTCAAGGGCGAGGTCAAAACTATGTTCAGTGTCAGCTCTATAGGAAGCTCAGTCACTTGGTTGGTCGTTGTTGGCATCGGTTTGATGAAGATTTTACTTGTGTTTCAGTTAATAATCATCCTTCTTCCAATGATAGTTCAACTAGTAGTTACTCTTCGACTGGTTCTACCTCTATTAGTAGTAATCAGGGTTGTGAGTACTGCTCTCTTGGGAAAGTGATTCTCAAGTGAATGTTGTTGCTGTAACTTCTGAGCGTTGGGTGGTGGACTCGGGTACCACTCATCATGTAACACCAGATAGGACAAACCTCGCAAATTCTTCTGACTTTCATGGTCTAGGTAAACTTATAGTTGGTAATGGTGTCTCGTTAGATATTTGAACGGTTGGTGATTTGGTTTTATCTACTGCATCTAGGGTGTTGAAATTGCATGATTTATTGTATGTTCATTATATAACAAAGAACTTGATTTTGGTCTCTAAGCTTGCAAGGGACAACAATATATTCTTCGAGTTTCATGCCAGTAGCTGCTGTGTGCGTGATGAGGTTACTGGACAGGTTCTCATAACTGGTGAGGAAGCTGGAGGGCTTTACTCCTTTGTGGCAAATAAAGCCAGAAAAGAAGATTGGTGTACTATTGCTGATGTTAATATTGTCTCCAAAACTTTGCCTAGTGAGATAGATGAATTATGGCATCGAAGACTTGGCCATCCCTTGAGTGAAATTTTAAGTCAGATTGCTAGGGAACTTGATGTAAAAGTTACTACATATATTAATAAAACGTGTACTACTTGTCATATGGGAAAAAGTCACAAATTACCTTTTATGCAATCGAATACAACCTATGATACTCCATTTCAGCTTATCTATACTGATTTATGGGGACCTCCACATGTCTCCTGTAATGGATTTCGATTATATGCTTCCTTTATTGATGCATGCACTCGACATACATGGATTTATCTTCTAAAAAATAAGTCTCAGGCTGCTGAAGCTTTTCAGTTATTTTAAAGAATGGTGGTTACTCAATTTGGTGTTTTGATTAAAGAAGTTCAGAGTGACTGGGGTGGTGAATTCTGTAGCCTCTCGTCACTACTAACTAGAGCTGGTATTATTCATAGGGTATCATGTCCTCACACATCTGATCAGAATGGGGTAATTGAGAGGAAGCATAGACATCTGGTTGAAATGGCTATTGTGTTATTGACACATGCGTCTCTACCAATGGAATATTGGTCCTATGTTGTTATTGATGCTGTTCAATTGATAAACAAATTGCCCACCAAGGTACTGCAGGGGGTCTCTTTTGTTGAGAAGTTTATGGGGAAAAAGTCGGACTATAACGAATTAAAGGTGTTTGGTTGCCAGTGATTTCCTTACCTACGACCTTTTCAAGCTCATAAGCTTGCATTTCGCTCTTAACCATGCATATATCTCAGTGTCAGTCCTCAACATAAGGGATTTCAATGCTTGGAAGCTGATGGGAGAGTGTATATTTCTAGACATGTTATTTTTAATGAGATTGTTTTCCTTTTGCAGGAAGGGTTGCTTCAGTTAAACCACATGTGGTTAAAAACCAACAGTCACAAGCACTTGAGATTGTGACTAACATGCAGCATTTACCTATGCAACAGTTGACTGATCTTGGTACTCAAGGTAGTTCTAAGACAGGTTCATCGATACATTATAATACGGGTGATAATTCTTTAGAAGAAGTTGCAGTTGAATCTTCTAGTTTGGTTGTGTCTACTGGGGTTGTTGTTGAATCTAATATGGGGAATGATTCCTTAAAAGAAGTCGTGGATGAGTCTTTCAGCTTATCTATACCTAACAGAGTTGTTGTTGGACTTAGTATCAATACTGAAGGTCTTTCTGCTGCTGTTGCACCTCGTATGAACAATCACTTAATGCTCGCGGGCAAGTGTGGTATTTTTAAGCATATAGATTACTCGAGTCACTTTGATAAGGATGTTCCTTCAAAAGTTAGTGAAGTGTTACAGTCTCCAAACTGGGCTGTTGCAGTTCAGGAAAAACTTGATGCCCTAAAGAAAAATGGAACATGGACACTTGTTA